CCTGGCAATCTTGTCCGGTTGATCTTATAGAGAGTTTCCTTTGCTGTTGGTTAAATTGGTTTACCTTGTAACTTGTAGTCAATCAACTGAAACGTAGAGTTGTTTTTCTTACATCTTTTAGAATGTTACCACTTCTCCCTACTATACGAGCTGGCACTTTTCTCCCAAAATTTACAAGTGGAGCTCAGATCATTCTTAGTTTTCACACATCAGTCCTCTATATTTTGCTAGAATCAGGGCTGCTCATAACCCCTAACGGATGATATTCTCTTGTTCTATGGTTTGTTAAGACTTGAATAAACCATGCAAAGGTTATTTTTTTTCTAAAAAAATGGAAAACCATATAAATCTCTGAAGCTTAAAATCTATGAAAGGGTTTAAGATGCTAAAACCTGGCAAACCATAGAAGGTTTTTTTTTACTTAAAAACCTAAAGCTTGAAGTACTGAAACCTAGAAAAACTATTGAAAGGTTTTTCACTAGAGCTCTGAAGCTTAAAATCCATAAAAAATCGGGAAAACTATGAAGGTTTTTTTGTATTGAAAAATTACAAAACCTAGATAACCATAAAAGGGTTTTTTTCACTCAGAGCTTTGAAGCTTAATTTGAAGTCCTGAATTAAAACCTGCAAGACCATGGAAGGGTTTTTCACTAGAGCTCTAGAACTTAGACTCTAGAAAAAACCTAGAAAACCATAGAGGGGTTTTCTTTTCTACAAGCTTAATAAAGCTCTGAAAATGCCAAAGTAGTCTCTCCCGCCAGCTTCCGCCCTCTTGTGCCCCTGACTGTAGGGTAAGTGGTTAATTTATTCTGTTGCCTGTTCTGTGTCAGAAAAACCTTATATGGTTTTTCCCAATCATTTGAACTCTTTTTTACAAACCCCACAACTTCCCTTACACTCCGCCATCCCTTCTTTCGTCTCCAAATCAAACCACCCCATCAAACGCCGTCTGATGCCATTCCACGGCGTTTGATGCCCCATTCTGTATCGTTAAAAAAAAGACCTGATACAAATACCATGACACCATACAAGTAAAAAAAAGTTTAGATAGTTTTTCGTCCATGTGACGGGAAAACCTTGTGTGGTTTTCCATTTCATAAGGAGCATGTTCTTATTTTTAGACATGAAGCTACATTAGCAGTTTGTCAGAAAAACCTTATATGGTTTTTCCCAATCATTTGAACTCTTTTTTACAAACCCCACAACTTCCCTTACACTCCGCCATCCCTTCTTTCGTCTCCAAATCAAACCACCCCATCAAACGCCGTCTGATGCCATTCCACGGCGTTTGATGCCCCATTCTGTATCGTTAAAAAAAAGACCTGATACAAATACCATGACACCATACAAGTAAAAAAAAAGTTTAGATAGTTTTTCGTCCATGTGACGGGAAAACCTTGTGTGGTTTTCCATTTCATAAGGAGCATGTTCTTATTTTTAGACATGAAGCTACATTAGCAGTTTGTCAGAAAAACCTTATATGGTTTTTCCCAATCATTTGAACTCTTTTTTACAAACCCCACAACTTCCCTTACACTCCGCCATCCCTTCTTTCGTCTCCAAATCAAACCACCCCATCAAACGCCGTCTGATGCCATTCCACGGCGTTTGATGCCCCATTCTGTATCGTTCTCAGTGGGGGGGGATGAGTAAAGGGTGGGCTAACTGGGAGACCTAGAAAGCAGTGACAATGGGCCCAAAACACCCGCAGAGGTCAAAGGCGGGGCCAAAGCGCGTTCGAAAACCTTGACAATCCTAAAGGAATATGCGAGGGCACGCGAAGATGTGCATTTCCGAGTGGTTATGGCTTGTAGTACGAGTGCAAAGTCGATTTTAGTGCAAATGTGGTCATTGTCAAAAATGGTGTCGACAAGGACCTTCTCAGCCATTGTGATGCCTGGAAAGAATTGGTTGACTCGACGGATGTGTAATGCACCATGAGATACACTCGATAGAGGCGTAGGTAGTGCAAGAGGACAGCCGCAAAATCGGAGGTAGGCAGCATGACGGTGACGGATGTGACTTTGAAGGAGCAAATTTTCGTAGAAGCGCGTGTCTACTCCGCAAATGGCGGGAGTAGCAAAAGGTGGCGCTTGCGTAGTCGTTGAGAAGCGAGAGGCTGTCGTGGAAGGAGGGAATATGGTGTAATACATATTTGGCACGGTGGGTGGTCATTGGCGATGATAGTCCTCGTTTATCGAAGAATACAGGCTTCCAGCCCGCTGCGTGCTAAGAAGGCGCAAGCTTGGCGACATAGTAGAGGAAGGCATAAGATGATGTGCGCCCACGTTGGGCAGATGCTGCCCGCCATGAAGGCTCGCAGCAACAGCGGCCCCACGCGAGAAGTCGCCAACCAAGGTGAGGGTGGATTGGTTGAGCCACAAACTCCGCGCTCGGCGAGGCGGAGACGGAAAAGGAGAGCTTGGATGGGTGTTGGCGCGGTAGCGGTTGACGATGAGGATAGTGGGCAGTATTACGATTCGCAAGAGCCTAGGCCTAGCGAGTCTTGTCTCAAATGGAGGAGAAAAGAACTGAAAACTCTAGTTAGGACTTGACAAGAGGGACTTGAGAAGGACACACACCTGCTGATTCCATTTCCAGATGCCGCCTCCCTTGTCCTCTACATGTGTCGCTGCTAGAAGCGCTTGAGCTTGTTCTGAGAGCCATACAACAGGGTTGCCGCGGCACTCGTTGTCAGTGATCCAGAGTAGCTTAAGCTAAAGTCTTTTCAGTTGCTTCAAACAGACAGAAAGCGGGCAGAGACGCGCGCACCGATTGCAAGACTACGCGTCAATACTCGACATCGACATCGATATTCATTGTTGACCGCGAAGACAACGGTTAGTGCCTCGCATTAGGCCGTCGCATATGACCGCTATAGAGCGGGGGCCGTCGTCGAGACCGCCAACTGGCCGCGCCATGGAGTCGGGAAGAGAGAGAAACGAGTGCATGTCACACACCCGCTTCTTGTCTCCAGACCTGATCCCGCCGGCCTCAAACTCGTCAAGCCCCCCAATGAGCCTGCCGGGTGCTCGCCCTTCTCCACCAAGTTCTCAGATCGCTCACTCACCCGATGTCGGCGAACGGAGCAATGTGTGCCTTCGTGCCTCGGCTTGTATTGATCGCTGACTTTTGACGTAGGGATGAAATCTGTTCTCTCGTCTACCGTGTAGCAACTCGAAAACACTGATGCCTCAGAACGACGACTGAGAAGTTCCAGCAAAGGAGGACACGACTTTGGCCTTTTGTGTTGGGGTGGTTCTCAGGAGGGCAGCGGTCCACGAACGGTGGTGCGCGAAAGTCACTCTCTTCCTGCTCAACGTCGTTGCTGACAGTCTACCCACACAGGCTCTAGTCTCCTTTGACTACTTTCCATTGCAGATAGAGAAGGCACCTGTTGTTCTCACCGAATATCTCGCTTACGGTCGAGAGAAGAGAGCAAGTGTTATCAGCACCCATTCATGGAATAGTCAAGTTCTCCCCGCCATTAATGGCATACATATCCGCCCCTCGATACTCTTTTCATCTCCGCAGTTTTGAAGCTGGGACTCGCGCGGCTTGGCTAAGCGTCGTCGCATTGCTCGCGCTGGCCAGACAGCACAGGCATCTTCTCACCCCTTCAAGGAAGTCACTATGGCCAACCTGAACGCAACAACCCGTCTCAATATCGCTCGACAAACACGTCTGAAGGTGCTGCATACTTTTCAGCGTTGCTGTCTGAAGCATCCTCCAGCTGCAAGAACGACAATACCCACTCCAAAGCAAGATCATCATCATAATCACACTCTCCTCCACCGTCTGCTCCTCTGCCTCCCCCTCGACGCCTTCATCCGCCCTACCCACTCGAAATTTTGTCCGGATTTGGCAAGTCACGTGCGTCGCCGTCCGCAAAGACTGCGACATATCTCCTCCAGCACTGCAGCTATCGCTCTAACGACCATATCTCCTTGTACCCTGTGCTACCGGACTTTTATCGAATTCTTTTGGCTCTGCTGTTCGAGGGGGGAAGACCGCCGTTAATTCGTTTTCTCCATGCGAGGCGTAGACGATGCATCTGTGATGATTCTGTGTCGAAGGGTGATATTTACTGCGGTGGAGCTTACTCTGTGGATTCAAGAGCTTCGAGCTTCACCAGAAGCTTCAGGCTGCCCTCGACAGCCAACGATCAAATCGTGTCATTGATTCCCCACTCACAAACCCGTGTCCACCATGACACCTCCACCATTTACCTCTATTCCCTCGTATTGTCAAACGGAATCGCCGTCTGCTACAATAGCTCCAAAGGCAACAATACCTTCTTCAAATCAATATCATCTGAGTCCTACTTCCATGTTTTGCTGCTGGCTGTTCCGCCTCCCCCGTCAACGCCAGCACCACCCGCACAACCGACTCGAGATTTTGTCCGGATACGGCGAGTCATGGTCACGTGCAATGCGCCGGCGTCTGAGAAGACTGCGACATATCTTCCCCAACACTGCCGCTCTCGCACTAGCGAGTGTATCCTCATGTGCACCATACTCATCCTGTTCTACCCAATTCTTTCTACCCCACAACTCAAGGCATAAGACCGCCATTGAGCGCGTTTTCTCCTGCCGTCGGATGTGAGGCGTGGTGGATATTTCTGCGTCGAAGGATGTGAATACGTATTGAAACGCTGAACGGAGCTTCGGGCTCCGCGTTCCAAAGGAGTGGGCGAACGACAGCAGGAGTCTGGGTCCCTCTTCTGCCCCGATCCCGTCCTTCCTTGCCCATCTCATTTGACTGGGTGGTCTGTCTACTCTGGGAGTCCAGTTTACTTGTGTCTGACATCCAGAACAATTCTTACATTCAAACGAGATCATGTAGATATACATACAATCTATTCTTTGGTTGTATCTGAAGTCACCAATGTATACCCTCCGGTCGACGTCTGCACTGCAAACCGCAGGTCAAGCAATTTTTTGAGCTAAAGCAAGCCTGCCAGTCAGCGCGTTGTCGACGGCACCTGCAACTAAGGTATTTTATAAGTGCGGAATATATCCACTCCAGTTGACGTCGACAAGCGCGCGGGGGGGCAGCGAGCGGAGTGTCGACAGGGACAAGACGATCAGAATGATCCTGGCGACACAGTACACGGGGATGGCCAGATGAATGAGCAAGCCTCGCAGCAGTATCATATTATAAGGCAATGTCCCCGACAGGACCGCTGCCCTGTCAACGGGCCACGGTAGCGACAAGAACAGTAGTATCAGGAAGACCGGAAGAACAGTGACAAGCACTGCGGACACGCGCCACAATCGCTGCTCGGTGGTTGACGGAAAAACTGCAGCCCATGCAAGACAGTGGAGGCCGCCAAAGAGCACACTACAGAGAAATTGCACTGATGCGATGCGCAGCATATCGCTCAGCACAATTTTTGCATCAATCGGGCCCCGCCAAAACGTAGGGAGGTGCGTGGCAGAGCAAGGGTCGAAGTCGACATAGTACGAGCTGAACAGGACAGAGTTCAAGTACTGTCGGTACCGGTTGATGCTGGTGGGATTGGATGGAGGAGCATGATGATTGTGGCATTCGCAGGTTTTCAGGGGGATCGTGAGGGGGTCGCGGACGTCGAGCGGCTTCGCAAGCCAGAGAAGCCATGTGAGCGCGTTGATGGCCGCAAATGCGAGTGTCGCGACTTCAAGCTCGACTAGCGGGAGATGTTTTCGGGACATCGCCGTCAGAAGGAGAGTCGGGTGCGGAAAGAGAAGGCCCGGTGATGTGACACGTGATGCCCACCGGCTTCTTCTTTCCACCCAACTCGAGTCCCCGCTTTGGCACCCGCGACTCGTTCTCCGAGCCCCGGAAACATCCAGTACCGCTGTGACCCTTGCCCACCGGCTTCGCAATATTTGAAGTCGAGCTCGAGCCCCGCCCTTCAAAGTTGTCTCGCCATGTCTTGCAGCCTGAGTTGCCAGTGATAAGGCATTCGCGGCGTGCTCAAGGGCCAAACAACGTGATCTTGCAAACCCACTCGAAAATATTGATGGACTTCTATTAGATAACTGTAAAGTAACCCCAACTGCGAGCCACGCACAAGAACTGGACAAGCGAAGAGATCAAGTCTAAGCGGTACTAGTAACGACAGCGACAGAGGGCCCAAAACACCCGCAGAGGCAATGCCAAAGCGCGTTCGAAAATTTTGACCATCTCAAAGGTATATGAGAGGGCACGTGAAGATGCGGATTTCCAAGTGGTTGTGGCGTGCAGCATGAGTGCAAAGTCGATTTTAGTGTAAATGGGGTCGTTGTCAAAAACGGCGTCGACAAGGACCTTCTCGGCCATCGCGGCGCCTGGAAAGAATTGGTTGACTCCATAGATGTGTAATGCACCATGAGATACACTTTATAGAGGCGTAGGTAGTGCAAAAGGACAGCCGCAAAGTCGGATGTAGGCAGCGTGACAGTGACCAAAAAAATTGTCGTAGAAGCGGATGTCTACTTCGCAAATGGCGGGAGTAGTAAGAGGTAACACTTGCGTAAACGTAGAGGAGAGAGAGGTTGTCGTAGAAGGAGGGAGTATGGTGTAATATTTGGCAGGGTGGGTGGTCATTGGCGAGAATGGGTTTCATTTTCGGGGAATACTAGCGGCTCATCGTGTGCCAATGAGAAGAGACACAAGCTTTTCGCCAGAGTGGGGAGGGCAATGATATGTGTGTGGATGGACATGTTAATCTGGCTCCCTGTGTTGCATCGACGTTGCTGCCGGGCGGCCATGGCCTTGGCACTTTCCAGCCCACCTGAGAAAGAGTAAGTATATGACTGGGTTCGATAGAACTATGAGACGCACATATTCGAAGCACTTCATGCAAAGTTCCTCTCCGCCCCAACCGCTTGTCGCTTGTTACCAGATCGTTCTCGGGGGACACGCAAGCGTTTCAAGTAGCGCAAGGTCGTAAGTGGGTGCCTTGTCCATTTTATCGTCGTCAAGCAGGGATTCAGAGAGCATCTGTGGAGATAAAAATGTTAGCAAAAAACGAGGGAGACAAGGCCGCACTTTGTGCACCAAGGAGACCAACTATGTGCTATCCAGTCACATCCCAGTAAGCTGTTGCACTCTAGGAGCTTGCACATATCGGTTGTAGAGGCAGTCGTGCCACGGAGCATTGGGCAAAAATAGTGTCCGCTGATCATAAGGCGAAGCTTAGGAAAGTTAGTAGATCCCCACGTAGCGAACCGTAAAACAGACATAGCTGCTCACGGGCCCAGTAGGTATGGGTACAGTCGATAGCGGCAGATTCTTGGAGCGGGACGGGCAAAAATGGCCATCGTTGGTGGAAGTGCGGAAGAAGAATGGGTGGTGTCATGTGATTGGCACACCTTAGCCAATAACCATTATGACAAACTGTTTCCTCTGTTTATTCCGCTCGGAGGCTCTCAGCTTGCCTTCTACCTCTCAAATCGAACACCTCCACTACATTACTCGTTCAAACCTTCCTACTCCCATGTATATCTCCGCCAAACTCGATGCTGTGTCTGCGACCATTGCCGCCTATGATGCTCATCTTGCCCGACTGAAGGAATTGGTCTGCACAGTAACCGAAGAACGAGCGCGTGCTACCCACTATGCGTCTCAGTGCAAGAATCTCCTCTCGTCGCATATCCGCCAGCTCCCGACCGAGATTCTGGCCTCCATCTTCGAATTGACTGTGCAGGCGTCGCGTGCCGATATGTACCGCACTGTGGAGGAAATCAGGGACTCTAACGCGGCATTGCGAAACCTAGTTAATCCCAACCTCCATTCTCTCATGCAGGTGAGCTCAGGTTCACGAGCAGCACTTGTCGTTGTTGATCCCCTTGTCAAGGTTTGCTCCCACTGGCGGGAGGTGGCATTGTCGACGCAAAGCCTTTGGAGCCAGCTTATACTTGACGGACCGTTTTTGACTCGCTCCCTAGTATCCTCGCAAAAAGCCTTCCATTTGACCAAGACAGTGTTGGCCAGAGGTGGTCAATGTCCGCTGGTACTGCAGTTCAGGGCTATGCTTGCTGGTGGGGCGCCATACAGCGAAGACAAAAGTGTTCCTCGCCTGCTAGAACTCATCGTGGAGCACTCGCGTCAGTGGAAGTATGTCGTGCTGGATTTTGATGATGATACCATTTCGCTTCTCGCTCCCGTTCACAACCATCTCGACCGCTTAGAATCGCTGGATTTCTATATCTTGAAGCCGTTGTCTCTTTCCCACCCCATCGACTGTTTCTCAAATGCTCCACGATTAACCAGGGCGATATATTCCGGACCCGCGAAAAACCTCATTAGGCTGCCGTGGCACCAATTGCAACATTTTGCGTTCACCACTGACATACCGTTTACGCCGACCGACTTATGTTTTGTCCCCTTGTACAACCTTCCGTCTGGCAGCACATTGTTCCTCGACCTGTTCCTCGGACCAAATGAAAACCTTACACCGGTAACACCCCAACAGGTGTTGAGCTGGTCGCTTAAGCTTCAGTTCCGGGCAGCAGTCGGCAACGCACAAGCGGCCACTCATAGTTTGGGGCGCATTTTGGCATCGCTCGTGTTTCCCAAGGTCACAACATTGATCCTGGGAACGTTAACTGAAAATCCCGGGAATCCGGCGACCCATCTTTGCTGGAACCAAATAGAATTCTGCGCCTTCATCGACCGCTCAGATATGGGACAACGCCTGACTTGTCTTTTTGTCAACCTACCTTTCAGGACGACTGAGCTCTGCGATATTCTCGCTCGGCTTGAATCGCTAGAAGATTTGTGCCTCACAGACTTATACACCACAGAGAGTCCGCCGCCCCTCGTGACAGACGAGCTGCTGCACCGGCTCACCGTCAATGCAGATCCAGGCCGGATGCTGGTTCCCAAGCTCGGCTTAGTTGAGATCTCCGGCCGCTTCACATTCACGGACCACGCCTTAGAGGAATTCGCACACAGCAGGATGTTGCATGCCAAGGCGCTGCCCCTGCCAAATGTCTTCACTCTTGGTCTATATCACAACAAAGGAGTCGAATGCTCAGTAGGTAAACAGCTCGAGGTCCAATTTCGTCAGTGGGAGGAAGAACGTCGGTTTCGTGTTACCATAGAAGAGTACTGACTCGAGTGGGCGATTATAAGTGTCGCTGGTGCAAGAGGCATCAACGACCTTCACATTCCAGGTGCAGGTTACCCATCGTATACTGTAACTACCCAAACCTTGTCTTTAACCGTTTCATGATCGCAACCTGTAATGGTACTAGTATGCGGTGTTATTTGGCACTTATCCGAACGAAGACGACTCGAAATTGAGATATTCGGTAAAGTTATAAGACCAAGTGCCGCAAACTATCCACCAGAGCCGCAAACCACATCACTCTCCTCCTCTCTGTCCACAACCTGAAAACTGGCTCCGTCACCCAACTTTGGCTCCCGAACCCAAAATGTAGCCAGCGGTTTGTTTTCCGCCAACGCGCCTTGCTGGACCGCAGACGATAACGTGCACCAGAGGATGAAGTCAGGCCTAGGCGTGGTCGAGCCACGAACGACGTGCCGCACCTCCTCCTCGACACACAGCCTTTATACGCGCGAGATGAGATGGATAGTGGTGGAGTTGATGGTAGAGCGTGGATTGGACGGTATGAAGCAATGCGGACATGGACTAAAAATCTAAGCCAAGACGGGAGTAGAAGTAGCAGTAAGGTAAAAGTATAGAAGGGAAATTATGCGGGGGCAAGATCGGAAAAAGAGAAACTCAGTATTGAGATGAGACAACGATGGGGGGGAGGATGGAAAGAGAGGGGAGATAACTATAGGTATGTACAAGTGAAGGTTCAAGAACAATTCGAAGAGGAGAAGTGGTATGTGGTTGCGCATTGGTGAAAAAAAGGGAGGGAGTTGAACCCAATGCCGTCAAAGAGGTCGGATAATATGAGTATTCATGTACAAGTTGAATTATATCAAGTGCGTCTTGCTGGCGTTCCGAAGGTTTAGTGGAAGAAGGCTTGTCCCACAAAGAGCGTCAACGAGGATCTTCGGGCCTGTTGTAGCGCTTGGAAAGAATTGGGTGGGTAGAATGAACCACGGGATTTAGTCTGTAGCGGCGTACGTGATGCAGGGGCAGAGCGACAAAGTCGTATGGCGGCAGTGTAACACGTGAATGGTCGACTCCGGAAATGGCGGGAGTACCACGAGCGATCGCTGGCGCAGATGCGGAAAGACGAGAGGATGTATTCGAAGGAGGGAGTGTGGTTTTTAGCACGGTGGGTGGTTATTGGCGAGAATAGTCCTCTGTTTCAAGGAACAGGGCATCTTTTGCACCGCAGGCCAAGAGTAAGAGACATTTGTCGACAGAGGAAATGAGGGCAAAAGATAATATGCGGGCGGGTTAATCTTGCTTCCCACGTTGAGTCAAGGTTGCGACAAGGCGACTACGGTGTTGGCGCTTTCCAGCCTGCCTGAAAGCGAAATAAGTCGACTGTTGGTCGTAAGGAAACAACAAGAGAGACGCACGAATGCAAGCCTCTTCAAAGAGAGTTTCTATCTGTTGCATGTTTCGGAGTCGTTGTCCTAGTCCATGCGACTCGCGTTTCCGAGCAACACAACGCTCGCAGGCTAGTCTTCTGTCCCTTGTATAGTCGTAGAATGAGAGTTCAGAGAGCATCTGCGGAGAGAGAAGAATGTTAGCAAAAAAGCGAGGGAAACAAGACCGCGCTTGGCGCACCGATAAGACCAGCGGTTCGGATCGCTCTGCCCACTGAGCTCTTGCACTCTAAGAGCTTGCGCGTGTCGGTTGTCGAGACAGTAGTGGACGGCATCCTGTTGGCCATCGGTGAGTGAATCTGACTGTGGTTCTGAGAATGACATACGATAGAGGCATCCTTTTCGAAGT